ATAACACTTTTATTTCTAACACAGCATAAAATTACTTAGAGAGAGTGTGTAAACAGCTTCTTTAGAAAAATAAAAAAGTGCGTTTATAGTAAAAGTAAGAAATAAAAAACGCTAAGCGTTTTATAATAAAATAATAGACAACTTATGCTTAGAAGGTTTATGCGTAAAAGTAGCTTAACTTTTTAAAAAATTAAAAGGTAAAATATCTAAAAAAAGACTTTTTATTCTTAAATAAGATTAAAGCGCTAAAAGTAAAAGCTGCTAGTCTTTTTTCTTCTTAACTTATGTTAAAGAGTTGTAGACCTTCTACATTGCAGCTATCTAATGCTACTGTAGTAGTCTTAGTTAATAATAGTGTTTTTTAGTCTAGGGAACTTTCTCTAGGCTAGTTTTAGTTAGAAGAGACACTTAATAATCTTAAAAGAGCTGTAGAGCATTTATTAGGTTTTTAATAAGCTTCTATGTGTTTTTACTAGTAAAGTATTCTTTTTATTTTACTAAAAACTCTCTTTTATTTCTAGTGTTAGGTATTTATTTAACTTTATATTTTACTTTTATGTTCTACTAGCTAATCTTAGAGAGTAGTATCTCTATTAGCACTTTTTTAAGCTTTAAAATGTAGAACTATAGGTGTATACGTATGTCTTTTAGTAGCTTAAGCTTGTAATTATCTTATAGCATCTACAGTACTTTGTATAGTCCTATGTGTTTTTCTATAAGTTTGCGCAAGAGTCTAGAGGTGCAGAGGTTTTTTGTTTTAAGATAGACATAGTCTCTAGGTTAGATTTCTAGACTAGGCTGTTATGCCTAGTTTGTATATTATTTTATTATTTCTTAGCTAGCTTTAACTTTAACTGCTAACTTTTAGTATAGTTTAAGTAAATTTAATAAGTAGTTAACTACTGCTAAAAGGTTTATTAGTTAATTTTTATAAAGCGTGTAGTAAAGGTAGTAGCTAAAGTTAGCCTTATAAAGGGTTTCTTTTATTATAGTAGATTCTACTATGTTAATTATAAGCTATGCTATTAGAAGCTATTCTGCCTAATTTTCTTAACTAAAGAATATGTATTTCTATAAGTATCTTTCTACTTTAGCGTTTACTTATTCTATTTGTCTGTCTATCTATAGATAGTATGCTGTAGATAGTTTATATTCTATGCTTAAGTGTTTTATTACAGCTTTCTAGAACTTTCTAGTAAATAGCTTATCTTTATTAAAGATAATAGTTTATAGGTATTTATAGACTAAAACTATGTTTTGTTTAAACATGTATATAAATTTCTTAGCTATTATAGTTTCTTTAATAGCTATGTGTGTAGAAATTTTGTAGTTTTGTTTAGAGCAACTGTTATTATGTTGTAGAGCTTTTCTATGCTAGGTTCTTGCAACAGTAGAAGCCTAGTTATAAAGTTAATAGTTATTATTATATATAGCTATGTAGAGGCTTTAATAGGTTGTAGATGTCTGTACACCTTATGTCTTTTAAGGTTATTCTTGTTGTAAATGTTGCATTTGCATAGGATTTTAGTGTATAATTGTTTTAGTCTTAGAATATTTTTAAGAATTATAGCTTTAATTTTTTTTAGAGTGTTCTAATTCTAGAATGTCTAAACATAGAAGCTTTATAGTATTCTTTAACAAGGTTCTTCTATCTTTACTTTACTACTATAAAAGAGTAGATTTCTGCTTTTAAATCTAGTTTATAATAAACTAATCCTTCTAGTGTTTTTTTAAATATAGTAAATTCTTTTATTTTATTTTCTTCTTTTTTAAAGTAATTAGCTTGCCTACTAATTACTAGTTCTTGCTATATGTTTTATAATAAAGTTAAACTAAGCTAGTTCTATTACTTATTATATATGCATTAGTAATAGTTTCTTTGTTATTATAAAAGTAGTTAGGTTTATGTAGTTAGTGTATATAATAAATTATTAACTAGTCTTTTATAACTCTATTTTTATGTTTTTACTACATTTACTATTGCTTTAAGTTCTTTGTCTAGGATAGTGTATTTTTGTTCTAAGAAGGAGAATTTTGCTAAATAGTATGCTACTAGATGCTATCTTCTGTTTTCTTGCTTTTAGAGAAGTGCTGCTTCTTTAGCTCTTTTTAATGCGTCTGTGTGTAGCTTAGTTTCTAAAGCTAAGTTATATATTTATATTACTAGTTTACTAGTTATAATCTTTTTAAGTTGTTAAAAGGCTTCTTTTATCTAAGAGTTTTAGATAAACTTAGAGTATAGTTTTTTCTTAGTTATTATATCTATAAGAGGTAGTGCAATCTTTAAATAATTCTTAATTATTTATTATATGTATCTTGTTAAGCCTAGAAATCCTCTAACTTTTTTTACACTTATAAGTGTTAGCTATTCTATTACTTTTTTTTAACTTTTATAAAGTTTATCTTAACTTTTTTTTATTAATAATAAATCTAAGGTATTTAGTTTCTTATATATTAAATTTACATTTTAAGAGTTGTAAGTAGAGTCTATATTTTTGTAATTAGTCTAGTACTAATTTTACTTTTATAACATAGTCTAGTTTGTTACTTTTAGTATAGATAAGAATGTTGTCTAGGTATACTAGCACAAAGATGTCTAGATATAAGTTAAGTGTAGTGTTAATTACATGTTAGAAAGTAGCTAGTGCGTTAGTTAATCTAAATAGTATAATAAGAAGCTTATAAAAGCCTTTTAGAGTTTAAAAGGCTATTATCTATTTATAACTTTCTTTTATTCTAATTTTGTTAAATCTGTCTTATATGTTAAATTTTATGTAGTGTTTAGTTCTATAGAGCTAGTTTATTATATTTTATATAATAAGTAGCAGGAACTAATCTTTAATAGTATTTTTATTAAGAGTTTAATAGTCTTAGTAGACTCTTATTTTCTCTCTTTTCTTCTTTGTAAATACTACTGCTAATGCTATAGAACTCTTACTTTCTTATATGTGTCTTTTAGCTAGCATATTGTCTATGTATTCTTATAGAGCTTCTTTTTAAATCTTAGTAAGAGGGTTTAGCCTGTGTGTCTTTAGCTGTAGATTTAGTTTTAGGTTTATAGCGTAGTTCTACAGTTAATAGAGTAGCAGTTCTTCTAGGTCTTCTAGTGTCTTAAACATATTCTAATAATTACTATACTTTTTAAAGATTATATGTTCTTTTTCTTACACTATTTTATACATTTCTACCTATTTTATTTTATTGTCTTTAAGTAGTTTCTTAAGTGTAGTTTTCTTAAGTTTTTCTTTTATTATTTAAATAGCATAGGCTTTTAGTTCTTAGTAAGAGAATTTCTTAAGTCTTTGTTTCTTAGAATACTATCCTGCTTTTTGCTTTGCTTGCTTATGCGCTAGACAGTTGTCTCTATAGCATGCTAACTAGGTTATTATAGCGTGCTGTTTAGAGGTCTAGATAGTTATATTCTTCTAGTTAATTTTTAAATTGTGCTTATATAACTAGTTGTATCTAAGTATTACTTAATATTTCCTGCTAAGAGGTAGGATACTTAGAGATCTTTATTTAAAGGTGTTCTTTATTTACACCTAGCTGCAAGACCTACTTATTAGCTTTAAAAACCTATACAGCGACAAGACTATTATAAATTAAGCACATACTATTATTACAGTTCTTTAGGAGTATTATATTAAGTTAAAATTCCACTACTTTGTAGCAGATAACACGTTAAACAACAACATCTAGCTTATTAATTATCTTAACTTGCACATAAACCTTAACTTTAGCAGCAACAACTAAATACGCTGCGCTAGCTATACTATCTAAATTGTTGTTAAGGCAGTTATCTACAGCAATAATATAAGCCTGTAGAAATAAGAGCTAGCTAATGCAGCTTTTTAGAATTAATTTAAGCTTTATTAACAGCATAAAGTTCTTAAAAAGCTTTATAACTTCTACAACTTAGTCCTTTACTTAAATAAGTGTTGTAATAGCTTTATAGCTATTATAACTACACTAAGTAAGAAGAATGTCTTTTAGAGCTTTAGTACACTAAATCTACTACAAGATAGTAGTGTATAGTAGCATTCTGTTTATTTTATAATTCTACATTATTTTAAACTTAAAGAGGCTATTTAGCGCTTTATTTAATCTAAGCGCTATAACATAGGCCTTACTAACAAAGTTAATAATAATATTAAAGATAATAGTTATAATCCTTTACTTAACAGCTTTACTAATAATAAATAAGTAAAGGTAGAGTGTATAAAAGACTTTTTAAAGATCTTCTATAAAGTAACTAAACACCTTAAAGGCAGCACTAGCAAATTAGGCTACAGTAGCTTATAACAAATAATTATATACTTATAGGTAATTAATAATAAGCTTAGAGCAAAGAGAGAGCGCCTATTTTATAAGCACTATAGCAACTACTTTAAAAACAGCGTTGCCTTTAGCATTAAGAAGCTTACTATGTACTAGAAAACTCTTATTTTAGAGCTAAAGATCTTCTACTACTGTGTAGTAACTATTCTTAACTTATCTTTCTGCCTTCTTTAGTTTAAAGACTACTAGAAACACTACCTATTTTAGTATAAGTATATAAAGTTGTTTATTTAGAAGATCTATACACGCTATTTAAAGACCTTTAAAAAGCAAAAGAAGAAAAAAAAGGCAGTGTTGCTAGAGATATTATAAAGAAAGCTTTTAGTAGCTTATAGTAACCTACATAATAAGCACCTTAGAAAAAGGCTCTTTTGGTTAACCTTACTATCTTTTATAATAATAAAAGTTGTAGCTTAAAAAGAAAGTAAAAAGTTAATAAGTTAAACTCCTACTTTAATTCCTTAGTAAAAGATAAGTATACTAGAGATTAGCTGCTTACTTAGCTGCTTAAGTAGTAGCAGTAGTAAAGTTAACTTTACTACTTTATTTTTTATAAAATTACTTTTAATTTCTTATTAATTTTAGTAACCTTATGTAAGTGCAAGCAGTGCTTCTTATAGGCTAAGAAGACTATTATAATAAAAAGAAATTAACTATTAGTGTTAATAATAAAGGCTCTTTAACTGTAAAAGAATTAGTTATGTAACAACACTATTACTAGTAAGCTAACTAAGCTTATAGAGTATATTAAAATAGTAAAATTAATAATAGTAGATCTTATAAGGGGTATTATAACTTTCTAATTAGGTATAGTTTTTAGCTTTAGCGTAATTACTTTATAACGTTAATACTTAAATATACTTTAGTTACTGTATCCTAACTGTACACTAACGTCATCTCCTCCGTACAGTTAGTTAGTAACAGCCTCCTCTTCCGTAACTGTACTATACAGACTCCAAAAGGCTCCGTAACTAACGGTTGGACACACTGTTCCACAGCACATGACGCCGAAGGCCTGAACTTCTGAGGTAATAGCCTAGCATCTTCTTACTCCTTTTGGTCAACAGGACGACCTGGATCTGGATATACCTTCCACGGATCATCATCCTCTGCTGCCCCACTCTCTGTGCCTTCTCTGGCTGGTCTCCTTCGCCTCCAACACCATATGCCCGTAAGTATAAGGAGAGTGGCCGCGACACCTCCAATAGCAGGACCTACTATAACGCCCACATTTCGATGACTTTGCGGAGCTTCTACTAATAGCTCTTTACAAACCGTCCGTATATCACCCTTCATTATATTAACTCGGTCAACATTAGCTGGCGCAAGTCCAAAAGTTCGACTCTCATAGTCAACGAACAGATAATTCTGCGAAAGAAATGTTCCCCCTAGAATCGGAATGTCTCGTCCAAAATCCGTTGGCCCTTTCCCCACCGCAGCCATTACCTTCTGGGATACTATAGCGTACTCTCCTACGTCGTTGGCCCCTCTTTCCAGACTCAACAATTCGTACTTGGGAACAACGACTGTATACCCATTGCTGAGTGTCACAGTGAGGTTGTCAATAAGAACAGGAGCTTCACTTTCCGGTGGGTATGTCTGGTCCGTGTAGTCTGCGCTATCGTTGTGGCGAGTGTAGTTTTTCCACAGGGCGTACATGGCTTGGGTGAAAGTGAATTGGTTTTGAAGCGGGTCGATACACGCCGCAACAGTGGAGCGAATATCCGGCATCAGTGAGTAGGATCCCTGACTGTTGTTGAGGACGACGTCTTTGATTTGGACTTGCAATGGACACGGTGTATCTAGTCCCAGAGGTGTCATGCTGAAATTTGTGAATGGTCCTCTGATGCGAGCGACGTTGTATCCCCCGACGATGACTTGGCCATCCTGAGGTTGGTTCTGGGAACGCGATCCAAAGAAGAGGCCGAAAAACTTTGACGGCGCAAAGCCATAGTCAACAAGTTTTGCTAATACTGACGAATCTGGTCCAAACGCAATGCCCGATTTATTTAACGAGTCCGGATCATGCCACACCTCGAAAGGAAACCTGGGAATAGTGATATTTCCCATCACAGCTTCGTCAGCACCTTGCAAAATGACCGCATTCTTCGGCGGGGTGTCTATGTGCGATACGTTGAATGACCCGGAAGTATTGAAGGTGTGCAGCTGAACATCGTAAACGCCACCGGAAGAGCCCAGGCACTTAGACCTCAACGTCGCATTTCCAAGAACCTGACAGTCCTGAGCGTTTCGAACGCGGGTATTATTGATCGCAAACGATATCCGGAAGCCTTCTGGCTGGCCCCCAAGATCGACGTGGATTCCGCGGTTTTTTGCAACCCCGTCTGATAGAGTTACATTTTCGATTGACAGGGCTAGAGGTGCTGTTGCGCAATGGGCACCAACAAGGCTGATCAGAGCGATAAGAACCACTGACTTTGATGTCCAGCGAAGATCCATATGTAAGAAACAGAGGCGCTTCTTCAGTAATAGGACGAAATGTGAACTTTAGTCGACGAGTTTATCGCTGAGGGCAAGAGAGCAATAAAGCTGCCGAATTTTCAAAAAGGAGATCCGGATACGAGGCTGCAAAAACGCCGTGGTGGCTTCTGCCTCTCACCGGTCACTCTGTTGAGATTAAGTGGCTTGCCAAGGAAAAATGGGGGCTATCAATGCATGCACCTTGAATTCCCTGCAACTCCTCTGCCGTTTGCGTGAACGATTTTTCCCTTGGAGAATCGTTGTTTCCTCCCAAACCAGACAACTTCACCATGGACGTAAGAAGACTAGTGCCATCTCTTACTTAGACAGGTCGTGTGCAAGCCCTTTTCATCTCGTATTCGCCTCCACCTTACGGAGACCTGGCATTCTTGTGCAGACGGTCATACTCCTCGCTAGTGCGGAGTTATGGACAATGATTTCGCTCTACATCAGCTAGAAGTGTCGCTAGGAGCCTTCGTGGATCCTATCCCGCTTACCCCTTTACATCAAACGTCTATCTTGAGAATCCAACATCTCTTGGAACAGCACCCAGATAACAGGCTTCGGGAGAAATGGAGCAGCAGACCGCGAACTTACGTACTCTTCCGAATACTTCAGAGTATTCAAGAAAAGACAGAGCTTTGCGTCTTTGTTCAACAAAAGATTCACGACCTATTGCTACCACTGCCTATTAATCAACTCCCCGACGCAGTAAAGAGCGATGTCGAACTACGCGATCGTTTTCTAAGACTGCAACTACTTGTCTTGTCCAATCCGGAGACTATTGTTCCAGCTCGTGTCGAAGGCGCTGGCAAAGCTATTATGGGCTCACACTCTCATGTCGACGACGGGGACTCCTTCTTCGATACCAAGCAAAAGTTGGGAACTGGTGGGTCAGGTTTTGTGGATTCAGTAGTGTGCAAACTCACTGGCATTGAATATGCCCGTAAGAAGATTCCTCGACCGTCGAACATAGCGGTCTCGGACCAGCAGACCCTCATCGAATTTGAGCAGGAGCTAGCGGCTTTAAAAAGACTAAGGAATTACTCGCATATGGTTCAATACGTCGCATCATATACTGATTATAAGTCACTGGCATTCATTATGACACCAATCGCAGATTACGATCTTAGAAGTTTCCTTGAAGCATTAGGGCCTCAACAAGACAGAATAGCGGAGAAGGAATTACTGCTTGAATTCTTCGGATGTTTAGCAATAGCCATTAGAACTCTTCATGGGTGTCAAATACGTCATATGGATATAAAGCCTAGCAACATTCTTATCAAAGGTCGGACTGTCTTAGTCTGCGACTTTGGAATATCAAGAGACTGGTCGGGGACTTCTGGCGATACCACTCACGGACCGATATATAAGAAGACAGCAAAATACTGTTCACCAGAGGTGGATGATGGTGGGCAGCGAAACAAGGCGTCTGACATCTTCTCTCTCGGGGTTGTCTATCTTGAAATGATGTCTGTTATCGGAGGATCTACGGTTGAAGAAATGAGAACGTTCCTCAGACAGAATGGCTATACTACAGATGTAGCTTGTCGCAATCTTTTGGGTGTAAATAAGTGGATCGAAGAGCTCCGAAAAGCTCTAATCGATGAGGAAGCAGCCCCACTTCAATGGATATGCCGCATGGTACGTCCCTCATGGCTACACGGCGGACTCTAGACGCTAATATGGTACAGATAAAAGAGGAACCAAGGATGAGAATCTCTGCGGAAGAACTAGCTGAGACGATTCATAACCCGTCATTCCAGCCACATTCTGACCGGTTCGCTGGTCCTTGTTGTCGTCTGCTGTCCGGCTCACTTGCCAGTCACAGATCCAGCTCAACATGGGTTGATTCACCGAGACCTATGCAGGGAAATCTGTCCTGGGCAAGAAATTCGATCAGGGACCTATCATGCCCCTCACCAATAATCCTAGAACACCAAGTTAGAAGAGCAGCAGACACAGTCCCGATATCAGAACTAGATGCTCCACTGCAGCTGACGATCCGTGCTCATCGCGACCCGACCCAAACTCCTAAAGGCGAACAAATATTTGGACGACCCATATGCGGATTCTCTAAGATTGACAGCCAATTTCCCGGTGAACTGCTTTGCGGTCCTTACAGACTGGAGATCTACGAAACCATGACCGAAAAACTCTGGGATTGCACCAGGACCATTGTTCTCTTTGGCGACGTACAAGAGACATCAGCAAAACGTTTCTTCTCTCGCCGAACCCCGCTCTTCGGCTTGCAAATATTGGAGAAGACTACTAATATTACGATATCTTGGAAAGAATATTACCGATCCGACTTTGCAAATAATGATACACAAGGGCGAAAAGAATATCAAACCGTTGGCATTCAGCTAAATTTCATAACGGATGAAGATGCGAAAAGTTTCCTAGATATTGTCAGCTCTCTCCCAGAGCATCCGCTCCTTTCCATACCATCAGCTGAAATTCAGGCACTCGACGCGGTACGAGTGTGTGTCTATAAGGTGTACGCTGGACCAAAACGGGACACCGTAGTCTGCCGTATCTTAATGGTATCAAGAGGAACACCGTCGGGCTATTTGAATATCGTTTCTCACATTGTGTCGCGAGATATCGGTTTAACGATACAGTTTCGCTCTGGCGTGGTTGTGGTGCAACTCGAAGACCTTCGCGTACCAATGTTCTTCTCACGAGACCCCGATCCACCGGCGTCGCGGCCCCATGCAGCGAATGTTGTGGAGGGTCCCATTTTTGCACAGAGCAAGGTGGAGCTCACTTTTTCATTTGGTTCCGGCTCCTTGGATTCCGCAATGAGCGAAGGAAGCGCCAGATCCTTCCTCCGCAGTATCACCGGATGGCAACTGCTCTATGTCGGCAGCGCTCATCGTCTGAAAGACTCTATACTTAGTCTCCGAAACGCCAAGAACCAGATTGCCGTAACTGTAACGTTATGGAAGGCCATATCTCAGCAATCAGGCAGGATCCAAGTCCTACTGCAATCATTGTCACAATCAGATTCCAAGAAGTGGACAAGTGGTTCAATACTAACTTCCACAGTGCTATCAAATCAGAAGGACAGTAGAGCCACGCTTAAACTGTTAAACATTGGCCGTGGAAAGCAGATCGACATTGTCCACATGTGTGCCGGCTCCGCAAACTCTCTTGAAAAAGACGGAGAATTAAAGCTTCAGTTTGCGAACTCAAAAGGTAGATTCACTATTAAACCCTCGACTTGGCAAGCACTAATAATCGTGAGAACTTGAATCTATAACGAGGGTACTAGCGAGACCGACATAGAGCCCTACCGAAGGCACGTTTTGTAATGAAGGTCGAGATTATGCTGTCGCACGTGCGTTTATCCACCAATATATATTCTTCTGCTGTGCTTGCTAGAAGGTTGACCTTTTGCCACTTGCGAAGTATACAACGACCCTGAACAGCATGGTCCATCAGGGACTGTTACCAGAAAACCTTTTCACTGTCAAGTTCGGGAGAGCAGACGAGGAGAAAGGCGAAATAACATTCGGTGGGCTGCCTCCAAATCTGCGCCGTGATGATTTCATCGAGGTGCCACTCAGCCACACCAAAACAGAGGAAGGAGATCATCTATGGAGAAAGTACACCACGAACGGCTGGCAATTGTCCGTCAAGAGCCTGTCGATGGTAGTAGGTGCAGCTGAACCTCCCGTAACACACCTATGTAGTTTGTGCGCTGTAAGGACGGAGCTCTGTACCACTACGCCAATACAACCAAAAGGTGCGAATAATCAACCAACGTTAATTATTGCGTACAGAATAGTATATATACCCGTCGCACGTAAGCACCATCTCGGCCTTACATTATCCCCCTTCTTAGCAGACGCATGTCCCAGGCGTCACATGACCTACCCGCAGCTCAGAGGCGCCATGCGCATGACTCGGTTACCGGCCAGAGGCTGACCACCTGCGGCCCAGAGGCGCGGGATAAACACGACGCAACGCTCAGTGGCCACGCCAGCTAAGCCATATACACTAGACCTCCCAGCAGCTACAACGTGGCGCCAGAAGAGGCCGCCTCACGTTTCAGTCTAAAAACTGGCTAAGCTGTCCGAGGGGTGGGTCGAACGCGCGACCGTCCTCGGCGTTGGTTGATTATTATGTAAATGTAAGGCCGGATGTCCCAGAACGGGCCAGTATGGCCTCAGCTGACCTGTTTGGAGGTCATATGACCTGTGCTTTGTATATAAGCATAAATCCTAACAAGTAAGGCTTAGCAGCAATTTGTCTCTCTTACAATACACTCCTATTTTTCTTTAAAAGCGTGCTCTTAGTGCTATCTATGCTACCTACTATCCTATCTTTATATTTAAATTGCTCTATAAGCTAGCATACTGCTTAAGGGCAATATTTCTATGTAATAGTGTTAAAGCAAAATGCTAAAAAAGAATTAAATGCAACTAGCGCTTAAAAACTACTTAAAAAGCTAGCTAAAACTACTACTTCTAGTAAACTTAACTAAAGTTAACACTAACATAAAAAAAAATAAAGTAAGAGATAAGTAAAAAAAATAATAAAATTTTTTATAAATTAAGCTTATTAAGCTATCTAGAAGGTATTTAGGGCCTAGAAGGGGTTAGAAGGGCTAGTGCAGAACTAAGCAACGCACAGTCTACCCCTGCAAATTAGGCTTTAGCAGAAGCCTACACCTAGCTGTAAAAGTAGCAGCAAGTGTAAAAACTAGCTAAAATAATAAAAATTTATTATTAATTTAAAGTAAGTGTCGCGTATACTAAGAGCCTTAGCTGGGGCTCAGAGCCTGGGACTAGGGCTCAGAGCCTAGGACGCAGCTTAGGATCTGGAGATATTATGTTCTAAAGCTTAGTGTATATAAGGAGAGCCCTTAGCTCTCTTAAATAGCAGAGTTACTTCATCTAATCTTCTAAACAGCTACTGCTAGGCTATTTTATCCTCTATAGTTATAGGCCTAGCGCTTTAAAAACCTAGGATAATTCTCTTTATATAACTATAGCGCTAGTAAAAGCTATTTAGAAGCTCTCTTATTCTTATTACCTCTAAAGCTTATGTTATAGCTAATTAAAATACTTCTCTTCTAACAAGAGTATACTAGCTTAAGGACTACATAAGCTAGCCTCTCTAGTTTATCTAGCTCTAGTTCTATACTCTTAGCAAAAACCTATAGAACATAATTAATCTAGATAGACTAGACGCTCTAAATCCTATAGACAGCGCTCTAGAGATGCCTATACTTAAAGTAATTACTACTAAAAACCTCTTAGAAAAGGCTAATATATAGTACTAAACTAATATTACTAAGTACTAAGCTTAATTAAGCAACTAGGCTTTTTACATAACATGTTTTTAGATAATCTAGAACTAAGTTAATACAACTATTGCACTAAAGCTTCTAAGACTTATAATAATATAGCTTATGTTAGAGAACTAATCTACTTTATAGGCACTTATATAAGCCTTAAAACAAAAGCTAGTACTAATAAACATAAGTATAAAAAATCTTATATAAGTAAAGTATAGCACTATAACTTTAAAAGCTTAGTACTAGTAGTAGCACTTTTTATACACTAAGGTAAAAACCTATAAGATTTTTAACATAGAAGGCTAGCTAGCTGCATAAAACTTTTTAGACGCCCTAGCTCTAAAGCTTGCACTAGACTAGGCGCGCTTTATACACTAAAGGGTTATAAAGGCTAGCGCACTTAGCAAAAAACTTTTAATAATTTAGAAAATTAGTAAGATCTTTTTAATAATGCTTTAAAAGCACTCTTTACGCGTAAGTAACTAAGGCATAAGTATATTTATAATACTTAGTAAATAATTAGATAATAATTTAGCCTAATTTATTTTAGCCTAATTAGGCTACTTATGCTTATATAAAGCTCTAGAGTAATTCTATTATCTATAAAAAGTAGTAGACTATAAAGACTTTATATTAGTAGTTACTAAAAAGCTAAAAAAGCTTAGTAAAAGTACACATTAAAAAATTCTTAAAAGGCTTAAGTAAGCGCAGCATAAAAAAGTAAAAGCTATACTACTTAAAAAAGGCTATGTAATTCTAGATAAAGCCTCTTTTACTTTAAAAGCTATTAAAAAATTAGATAAACTAGCATTTTTAAAAAGTATTATTACTACACTTATTAACTTAGCGCTTTTAGTAAAACTAGAAATGCATATAACATACTTTACAGGCAAGTTGCTTACACACCTAAGTTGCTTACTTTTACTAAGACTCTACTACACTACTCTTTTTACACTAATGCATTTCTAATAACACTACTTAGACATGTTAAAGGAATGTTAAATGCAGCTTACACTTTAAGCTTTTAAATAAAATATAATACTTTTTAAGTAACATGCTGCAGCTATTTATAAAGTCTTTTAAAAAATAATAAGTAACTAACACGCTAGATAACTTTTTTAAGCTAATTATATAGCTAACTTATAAAAGCTAGATAATAATAAAAAGTAGGTAATTATTTAGCATATACTTAAGCTAAATAAGTAAGGATTTCCCCCCTAGCTAGTAGCTGTAGCTAATATAGCTAATTTTTTACACACTAAGCATAATATAAGCTATATTAGCATAAACTAGCTTAATATATTTATTAAGTGTTACCTAAAGCTTAAAGTAAAGTTTAAGTATAAGTATAACTATAAAAGAGCTTTTT